CAGCACAAACAACTCTGCTCACACCAAGGCCAGCACTTGGTTTTGGCAAAAAGAGATGGGTTTGATTTTTCTAAACAACTGATTTTTCTGAACAACTGATTTTTCTAAAAACCTGAAGGAACAGCCTGCAGCAGTGTCAGCCTCCTGCCCAAACCCACGGATACATCCTCCAGCCAAAACAAGAGCAATGCCTGAGTCCAATTTTTCAAGTTCCTTAAATCTATTCCCAGGTGCTGGGCGTTGCTAGGGGCTGGCACACAATAAATAAACTGCTCTGATAAGTGATGCTGACTGAGGAACGCCAAGCAATCCCTACCAGAGGTCAGTGCTGGCTGTGGCCTCCAGCAGGGTGTGGTAAGCCAGCTCCACGAGCTGCTGCACGGAGCAGCTGATGCGGCAGCAGGGCAGGCACAGCGTCAGGGGGCTCAGCCTGCCCTCAGTGCCCACACTCACTGTGCCATTGGGCACCGGGCTGCAGGCTCTGGGCAGCTTCATGTGGTCTCCTGAGCCAGGATCAGGGAGCTCTGGGAGGGCTATGCTGGAATCAGGTGTGATCTAAGGGAAACAGAGAGATAGGGTAACAGAACTCGGAGCTCTGAAAGGAGAATCTGCAAAACTAAAAAGCACTCAATGGCAGAGGTTTAAGACTCAAGATAAACACAACACTGCAGCACTGTTAAAAAATATTTAGAGATTGTTTTCCACATGGAACAACTGTGTGAGGCATCCCCAGTCACCTTGACAGTGTTGTGTATTTCTGAGGTCATCAGGTTCCTGGCTGCCATGATCACATCCTGGCACTTCTTGTTGGCAAAGTGGGAATCCACGTTGCAGGCGTATTTCAGCAGGGCAGTTGTGTCTTCCTTCAGAAACTGCATCTTCTTCAGGGCCTTCTCAAACTCCTCTGTGGATTCGATCACCTGAGGAGAGCAGATGTGTTCTATGTTAGCACAGCCCCCAAAAATCAGGGAACAAAGTTAAATTGGGTATAAAGGCTGAAAGCAAAGGATGAAGGAGGTTTTGGAGGGCATTAACCACTGGAATGCCATCCCACTGGAGTGCCTGGGCTCTGTGTTCAAACCTGGGAGGGTTTTTGGGACCCACCTCTTTGTACTGCTCCAGTTTGCTGCTGTTGGTTGGGATGGAGTTCACCAGGCAGTTGTGGATGAGGCAGTCTGAGAGCTCCTCCCAGATGAGCTCCCCCAGCAGCTCTGCCAGGCTGACTCTGCCTTCCCCAGGCTGCTCCAGAGGCACATCTGCATCCCAGAAAAGAAAAATGGATTTTAACACAGCTGCTTTCTGGGCCAGGCCCTCCATCAGCTCAAAAGCCTTTCCTCCATTTACCTCTCCCATAATTCTGATTAACAATCAGATATTCTAGAAAACTCCCATTAAATGAACAAGGTACTGATGATAACTAACTCCAGAAGAGAAGAACTGCATACTTAGCAGGTATTTGTGCAGAACTTCAAACACCAGCTTGATCTTCTCAAACACCTCCATGGGAGAGGACTCGTCCAGAGCAAGCTCCTGGGACCTGAACCTCAGGATGAACACATCTGGCTGCTCCTCTGGGACTGGCTCCAGAGACGGGTGTGAGATCAGAGGCTTCAGGATGTACTGCAGCAACAAGTGGCCTGAGGAAAGAGAAAAACAGAGGTTTTCCAACAGCAGATGGCTCCAGTGAGGTCCAGCCCTGACTGTTCTAGATTTAAAAACTGCAAGAAGTGGGAGGAATAATCCCTTGATCAGCTCTATCAGGGAATTACCAATGAGGTAAAACTCTTCAAGCACCAGGCTATGAAACCACACAGACACAGATCAGAAATACACTGAATTGTCAGGAAAGGAGAAATAATTCCAGGTGGATAATGGGATAAATATTTTCCTATTAATAAGAGCTACAGCATTCACCTCAGTGGGAAACACAAGCCAGGAGAGGAAGGAGTTTCCCAGTGTCCTGCTGGAGTGAAGTGTGCCTCACTATCCATGTTAAAACAAGCCTGAAGTATCCTCCCGAGCTACTGGGGCTGTTCCTGGGGTCTGCCTTACCAAAGTCTTTGAGCTTGGAGTGCAGCTCTCCCAGGACAGCCAGGGCCTGCAGCACAGCAGCCACGGGGGGCACAGCAGTGTCCTCGTCCTGGGGTGGCACCGTGTGCAAGTGCAGCTCCGAGAGCACCAGGGCCTCCAGGCCGCTGCTCCCTGCACACAAAGCACATTCAGAACTGCCACAGGGCACTGCAGAAGCAGATCCACCCTCCCCAGAGCTCCTTCAGCCCCCTCAGCCCAACAGCTCCACTGCGTGTCCCACCCTGCAGGCGAGAACTTCAGTGGGGCAGAAAGAGTGAAAAAACCCCTGTGAGCACCTTTGGAAGGGGGAAGCTTCCACACAATGAGCTTCTGCCACTCCTCCCCGAGGTGGTAGATCATGTTCTGTGTCTGCACTGTGAGCTCTGTGCCCAGGGCCTTCAGGATCTTCAGTTCAAAGCCCCTGCGGGACTCCAGGCTCCTGAGGCTGCTCCGTGCCTGGGGAGAGCAGACACAGCTCAGGTGGGCACTGCCCTGCCAGGGAAAGCATCCCCTGGAACCCACCCCCCTGCCAGGGGCACTGCTACCTTCTCCAGCTGCTGAGCTGCTGCCACGTACTGCTTCTCCTGCAGGGCAGAGCTGCACTCCTTGATAGTTGTGTCAAACTGCAAAGGGGAACACACACAGGGGGTGTCACTGCAGCTCTGCTACTGCAGACACCCCCAGACCTGTGAGCTACACCCTCACCCAAACCTCTAAACTACAGACACTCCCAGACCTGTGAGCTACAGACACTCCTACATCTGTGAGTTACAGACACTCACTAAACCTGTGAGACACTCATTGAAATCAGAAGCCCAGAACAATGCTCACACTGAGGAGCAGGATTATTCTGCTCCCCCTCCTCACCTCCTGCAGCTTTTTCAGGACACTCAGGACCAGCGTGTCCCTCTCCAGCTGCTGCTTCAGCTCTGTGAACTCAGCAACAGCCACGTTTAGATCTCGCTGGACCTAAAACAACAGAAGTTCTCAGTTCACTGACAGCATTGGTTAGCACACACATTTTCCTCTTAAATTTCACTTATCATTTATTTCTGTGCATAGAATGATTTGGTGAGGAGGAAAAAACTCCATCCTTTTTATTCCTGTGTCCCACCCCCTGCCCCAGCCAAGGCTGGTCCTTCTCTCTGAAGGACACTGTGACACACTTTTCCACCCATACAGGAGTGACAACCCCTTAATGACAGCTCTTAACGTGCACACTGGTGTCACCTCAAGCCATTCTTTAGGGCTGATATCACCCAGGGATCCCAGCCAGAGAATCACAGAATCCCTGAGCTGGACGGGATCATCGAGTCCTGCCACAAACCCCCAAATCCCATCATGAAAGTGTTGTCCAGACACTCCCTGAGCTCAGACAGGTTTGGGGCTGTGACCAAGCACCCCACGGTGGGGTGGGGGCTCCAGATTTGGGCTGAAATGGAGCAGGATGTCCCTGGGAGTCACCTCGTTCTCGATGCCCGCCTTGAGCAGGTCGATGTTGTTGGACAGCCCCTCCACCTGCGCCACCAGGTCCTCTGCGCTCTGCATGCTGGGCAGGAACTCGCTGTACTTCTTGTTGATCATGGTGCACACCTCTCCCTGAGGACAGCGAGCAAAGGGACAGCGTCACCTCAGTGACACAGGGACAGCGTGAGAGGGCAGGGCGGGGGCACCGCAGGATGGAGGGGGCTGGGACACCCCTGAGCAGGGCTGGGACATCTCTGACCAGGGCTAGGGCACTGCGGGATGGAGAGGGCTGGGACACCCCTGAGCAGGGCTGGGCACCCCGGGACGAACCAGGGCTGGACACCCGAGGCTGAACCAAGGCTGGGCACCCCAATCCAGCTGACCCAGGGCTGGACACCCGGCCCAAACCAGGGCTCGGAACCCGAAATAATCCAGGGCTGGACACCCCGATCCAGCTGACCCAGAGCTGGACATCTGGACACCCGAGTGACACACAGCTGGACACCCAGTCACGACCGGTTTCGCCACAGCGCCGGCTCCCTGTCTCTCCCCGCGCCCCCTCCGTTCCCCGTCCCTTGCCTTGAGCTCCTCGACGCGGCGGGAGAGGCGCCCGACGCGGGCCCCCAGGTGCTCCTTGTCCAGCCGGCCCGAGTGCGCCAGCACGGCCGCCACGAGCGAGCCCGCCCGCGCCGCCATGGCTGCGCGCCCTACGGCGGCCGCGAGGGACACGGGACTGCGGCGCGGAGCTCGATCGGGAGGCCGCGGGTTCGAGACTGACCGGGGACAGCCGGACATGGGGGGAGGAGAGGGGACCGCGGTTATGGAGACAACCAGAGATCCCATGGGGATCGGGGACCGCGGTTATGGGGACACGGAGATACCGGGGAGCGGGAACCGCCGTTATGGGAACACCTGGAGATGGGGGGGGGAGAGAGGACCGCCGTTATGGTGACACCCGGAGATGAGAGGGAGCAGGGACCGCGGTTATAGGGACACGGAGATCCCATGGGGATTGAGGACCGCGGTTATGGGGACACGGAGATGCCGGGGAATCTGTGGATGGCGTGACCGGTGGCTGCTGGAGTCTAAGTCTCACTGAATGCTGAGGGTCTATGGCTTGCAGGGGACAGCCGTGGATGCTGAGGGTCCGTGGCTATGGGGGACCAGTGGATGCCGGGGTCTGTGGCTATGGGGGACCAGTGGCTGCAGGGGATGTGGAAATTCCGGGAATTCCCCAGCTCTGCAGTGTTTCCTGGCTGGGGGATCCATCAGTGAATGTCCATGGCTGCAGGGGGACAGGGAGATCGGGGCTCAGAGGGTTCTGTGGGTGCTGGGATGAGGAGGCAGGCACCGAGCCCCCATCCATTCTTGCCGGGGGAGGGAGGATCAGCCCCCGGCATCCGGTGCCTGACGCAGCCCGGGCGGGAGGTGCCTCGTGGTGACAGCTGTCCCCACGTCCCGGAGCGGGGACAGAGCCACCACCGCCGTGCCATGCTGGGGGGAAAGGCTCTGAGTGCCTGGGCACTGCTGGCCAGCCTGGCCCTGGCCAGCTGGGGGGTCCGAGGTGAGTCCGGGGGTGTGGGGTCAGTGGCCGAACACTCGCTGTGGTGCCTGGACATGGTGGGAAGGAACCCCAGAGCTTGGTGACGTTCCAAACCTTCCCTTTTCCAGCAGGGAAGGTTTGGAATGTCCATGGGGAAAAAGGAATCGGTGCAGGAGGATGGGGGAGTTTGGCCAGAGCTCTTTTGGGACAGCCTGATGTGATTCTTCCTGCCCAGGAAGGAACTCCGAGCTCTGCCCTGCTGTCATCACTCAGAGGTGAAGCTCTCTGCTCCCTTCTCCTTGCACAGGGCAGATATTCGTGAAGGAATTCAGCGGGAAGGTGTTCCTGGAGTGTGTGAGGAGCCAAGGCAAGAACATCACATGGTGGAGAGATGGGAGCCCTGTTGGGCACGAGGCACAGCTGGACCTGAGCGGGGTTTATGACGACCCCAGAGGCCTCTACACGTGTGAGACAGGAGGCCAGAGGAGCAGCCTGCAGGTGCACTACCGCAGTAAGTGTTCACTGCTGCCTTGCCAGAGCCAGGGCTGCTCGGAGTGTTCCCCCAAGCCAAGCCTTGAGAGAATTTCCCCTCATCTGGGAGTGTCTCCAGCGGTTCCTCTGCGTGTGGTGTCACTGTGAGAGCCCTGCAGTTCAGTGCCACGACCTGCTCCTCTGCCCTGCACTGCTGTGGGGGACACGGGCATCCCACAGCAAAGCCAGCTGGGCTCTGTTGCACTGGCAGAGCTGGCCCTGCCCTCAGTGTTTGTGTCCTTTTGGGTTTGCAGTGTGCCAGAACTGCATCGAGGTGGACGCTCCCACCATCTCGGGCATCGTCGTCGCCGACCTGGTGGCCACGCTGCTCCTGGCAGTGGCCGTGTACTGCATCAGTGGCCATGACAGGGGACACACTTCGCGAGGTGAGGGATGGGGACAGCCCGGGGGCTGTGCCTGGCACCCCTGGGAGCTCTGTGTGGCACTCCTGGGGGCTGCAGCCAGCTCTTGGGTTTGTTTGGAAATGTTCCCCACATTGCCCAAGGCTCCCCTGGTCTCTGAGCTTGTTCTTCTTTTTTCCTTCAGCCTCTGACAAGCAGAACCTGATCTCCAATGAGCTCTACCAGGTGAGTGTGGGGGCACCCCTGTGTGTGGGGACACCACTAGCACCCCTGTGTGTGTTTGGAGACACCTTCAGCACTCCTGTGTGTGTTTCGGGACACCTTCAGCTCCCCTGTGTGTGTGTGTGCACCTTCAGCCTCTCAGCGTGGAGAGAATCTTGCCCAAGGCTGACCCAGCTCACCCTCCCAGGGTTTGGCAGGTGCAGTTTGGGTTCATGTCCCCTTTTTCCCCCTGGCAGCCCCTGGGAGAGCGGGAGGAGGATCAGTACAGCCGGCTGGCTCCCGCCCGTGCGCGCAGGTGAGGAGGAAGACTCTGGGACTGTCTTCATCAGCGTGCTGGCTTTGCTTGGAGTCCCTCCAGGGTGGGCTGCCTGCAGCCCTGTGCCCACTGCACACCTCTTGCACTTCTGTATTAATGCCAATAAAGATGAGCCTGTCCCACGGGCTCCCTGCTCCATCTGCTGTGTGCAGCTCCTGGGGAAGGGCACAGGGATGGGGTCTGGGCACTGGGAAGGGCAAAGGGATGGGGTCTGGTCACTGGGAAGGTGCACAAGGATGGGATCTGGTGTCTTGTAAGGTTCACAGGGATGGGGTCTGGTCACTGGGAAGGTACACAGGATGGGATTTGGGATGGCAATGCCAGGTCTCCACTCCCCAGCCCCAAGCAGAAACAGCTCATGTGCTCTGAGCCCCCAAAACAGCACACAGACACCAACAGGGCCAGCCAGCATCACCTCACCCTGAAAGGATGAGGAAATTTGCAGCCCTGCAGGCAGTAAACCCCAAAGTGGGGGTGCAGCAGTGAAGAGGGGCCCGTGGGTTGTTTTGGTGCCTGTTTGAGCTCGAAGCCTGGCTGAGGCAGCCCTGAGCAGAGGAAGCAGCAGCAGAGCAGGGCTGGGGGCGTTGAGCTGCGCCCCAGCAGCTCCAGGATGCGGTTTAGAGCGCAGCTGGGCTCCCTCACCACAGCAGGCCCCACACCCCGGCGGGGAGATGGCGAGATACACACAGCACCAACCAGCCCCAGAACCCCAAACCCACACAGGGCCACGCTGTCACCTTCTGTGAGCAGCACTGCTGCAATAGGGCAGGCTGGGAAGGGGAGAGCGGGACCAGGTCAGAGGCAAACCCCCCTGCAAAAGATCCATACTCAGCCCAAGGAACACCAGAACCAAGTGAGGGCACTCAGGGTAGATATTAAGCCTGAAGGAAAAGGTCAGAGGCAAATCCCTCTGAGGAGGATCCGTTCTCAGCCCAGGGAACACCAGAACCAAGTGGGGGCACTCAGGGCAGACATTAAACCTGAGGGGAAAGCAGCAGGAGCAGAGGGACGTTTGAGGGGAAAAGGAGACCAGGGAGGCCCAGTGAGGCTGCAGTCCTTTAATGAGAAGGAAATCTCGTGCCAATGTGCTCATTTCTGCTCCGGGCTGGCAAACCCAAGCACACCCCAGGGTGGGACAGCCCATCCCTGTCCTGTGGCCAGAACACCAGAGGCTCAGCAGAGCTGCAGAGAGCTGGGACAAGGTGGGCAGAAGCATTTCACCCCGAGCTGCTGGTCCAGGCTGCCATCAGAGCAGTTTCAGATGGCCCTGGGGGCCAGGCCTGCATACACCTCCCGCTGCCCCTTCCGGATGGGCTGTGGGGAGACATGAGATCCTGGGTCAGGAGCTGGAGCCCCACACTTCCCCTCACAGAGAAAAGCAGGGCACAATTCCTCCCAAGATTATTCTCATCTCATTTGCTGTGCCTGTTTTTGTGCCAAAGTAGAATGCAATGTGGAGATTGTTTCCCCACGGTGATGGCGTTTTCTTTCCATGGCCTGTCAGGGCCTAGCGTGTAGCCCCACATTTCACAGACAAAAGCAAGGCACAATTCTTCCCAAGATTATTCTTATCTCATTTGCTGTGCCTGTTTTTGTGCCAAAGTAGAATGCAATAGTAGAATGTGCAATAGCAGAAAGCAATGTGGAGATTGTTTCCCCACAGTGATGGTGTTTTGTTTCCTTGGACTGTCAAGGCCAGGTGTGTGTGTGTGTCAGGACTGAGGGCGACAGTCACGAGATTCTGTGCAGTGTGTGCAGAGTTGAATGCTTGGCAGGTTCAGTTTTAGATGTATAGAATAATGCAGTATAATAAAGTAATTAATTAGCATTCTGATAAGATGGAGTCCTCCTCATCATTCTTCCATAGCACCAGCTCTAAGGAGCCCTCACTAAGCCCACACAGGGCATGGAGAAAAGCACAGCAGAGCAGGGGCAGTGCCCAGGGAGCTGCAGCTCTGCCCCCAAATAAATCCCCGTGGCAGCACCAGGGAAAGGGGCTGCACCCCCAGCACCTTTTTCCCTTTTCCTGCCAGGAAATCTGGGAGCTTGGCTGGATGCTCCGTCAGGGATGGATGACCTGGCTGTCCCTCCCCAGCAGCAGCATGGAAAGGGACTGTCCTCACCTCATAGTCCGGGTTGGGGACAGGGGGAGGCCGCTGCATCTTCGGACCTGAAACAGAGGCACAGAGAGGGTGAGTCCCTGCCATGAGGGGCCTCCAGGCTGATCCCAGGGCCAGGCACACCACAGATCAACCTCCATGGATTCATTCTGAGCTCCTGAAGAGCTCAGAATACATACAGCTGCAGGGCTGGCTCCAGCACAGCGGCCTGGGAAATGGGTTCCATTGCAGCAGCCAGCCCATCCCTGCCCAGAGAACACCTGGAGAACACCCCTGGGATGCAGGAGCACTGCCTGGAAGCTCATGGGGAGCAGAGGATGCAATGAGGGTTTCCCTGGGTGTCACCATCACATTTTCTGAAAAATCCCCTTGCCCAGGATTTCTCTCCTGGGAAGCTGAGAAGCCTCAGGGAAAAAGGAAACAATAATTATCTCATTGGCTTCTCCTGCGTTTTGCTGCTTTGCAATGTGGCTGGAGATTGTTTATCCAACACGTGAATTGTTTTTATTAATGGCCAATCAGTGCTAAGCTGTGTCAGACTCTGAAGAGAGAGCCACAAGATTTCATTATCATTCTTTGTAGCCTTCTGTCTGTATCCTTTCTCTATTCTTTAGTTTAGTTTTAGTATAGCATAATATAATATAATATAATATAATATAATATAATATACAACATAATATAATTAATGTAATGTACAACGTAATATAATTAATGTAATTAATATAATTAACATAATTAATATATTAATATCATAATAAATCAGCCTTCTAAAACCATGGAGTCAGATACACCATTTCCTTGCTCCTCCATCTGAGGACCTCAAAAATACCACACCTGGGTGCCCAGAGGGTGGCACAGGCAGCAGGGGTGCCTGCAGTGGCTCTCACCTCGCGGCCGGCTGTCCCCAGCAGAGCTGGCTCGTCCCTTCCTGCCCTTGCTGAAGTAATAGACCAGGATCAGCATGCCCAGGGTGATGAGGAGGTCTGCAGTGATGATCCCTGCCACGATCAGGGCGTCCAGCTCCTCACAAGTGGCACAAACTGCAGGGATGAGGGCAGGGGATGCTCAGAACCAGGAGAGCCCAGCCTGGCACGGGGCTATGGGCAGCTGGGAAGGGGAAAAGGGCAAACAGGGAGGGAGGATTTGCCCAAAATGGGCTCTGGGACTGGCCTCAGCAGCACCACATTCACCCACCCCACTGGAAACCCAGAGTCAGCCCCAAACCAGGTGAGGGGGCAGCGCTCACCTTTGGCATTCAGGTACAGCTGACGCTTCACGTTACCCAAGGAGCAGCTGAGGTTGGCAGGGGAGCTGTCGTGGTCCTTTATAATGAACTTCCTCTCCTTGGTGTCCTGGGTTTTCCCAGACAGCTCCCACTGGATGTTGTCGTCGTCGTCCAAGGGACACGTGATGGTCACCGTGGTGCCAGAAATCTCCACCAGGAATTCCTCTTGGGAGGACGCACCAATGAGAAAGGAAAGCAAGGGCAAAAGTGAGATATTTCCACCTGGTTTTTAGTCTGCCACAGTTTTTATACCCCGCGAAATACTAGAGAATGCTGGTAAAGTTAACTTACCCTCCAGTTCTTCATCTGCAAAACAGAAAACAAAGAGTGTTAAAAAATCATCTCGTCATTGCCTCACAGTGCTGGAAATGCCCAGCACTGGTAATAATTAGGGACCAATTCCTCCAATCAGTAAGACCACTGTCAATTAAGGAACAGTGATTTTTTCCTATCCTGCAATATTTACAAAATTCAAATCTTTCTATTTGACTTTTAGTCCTCACTTTTGAGGCATATTTGGGGGTTTTAGCATGATAAATAGATAAGGATGGCAGTAAAATACACTTACCCAGCTGAGCTGTGGTGCCAACTGCAAAAAAAAGGAATAAGAAATGTTAAATAATTGAACTTGAGCTATCACACACCTTTCCTACTCCCAGGACATCCTTTCTGAATCAGCTTGAAAGAGATGTTTACAATCCCACATTCATGCTGAAGGCATCAGAAATATTCTGCTGGTGAGACAGGATGTTGTTCTGAACTTGGAAGCCATTTTCAACACAGCCTAACACAGAATGGAAACTTGAATCATTTTCCAACCCAGTTCAGAAAAAACGTTGTTATTGCAAGATGCAAACCCAGAAATTCTGCTTTATTATCGTGGAGCAAACACTGCTGGAAAATCCTGGTAAGAACCTCTGCAAGAGTGGGAGCCTGACGTTGGTTTCAGGCTGTAAAACTGTTTATCTGTGTGGTTTTTCTGCCTTGTAGGAAACAACTTGCTCCATGAGAGGCTCTGGAGCTGGAATATTAAAGAAAGAGTTTTAGGAGGTGTGAATCACAGTCGTGATTTCCTTTAAAGACATTTGTCCTTTTGCAAAAAGTAACGTAAATAAGCGACTGCAGATTTGAATAAGTGATTGCAGATTTTAATTCCATAGCGGACTTGGCTGGAGAGAAGGTGACCTGATGGTTTTTATTTTACAGAGACAAATGTAAATGTGGAAAAAGAACAGGCCATTGATAAACCACATTTTCTATCTTCACAAAGTTGGTACTCGCAGCACTTGGGCAGAGTAGCTGGAGTCTGGTAACAACTCTTAATGGATTATCCTGTACACTCATCTCTCCTCATTACTGGGTTCTTTAGAGCCTTTCCAGGTACTCTGCTCTTCATCCTAAACCAGGGGGCACCCCAGCTGCCACCCCACCCCTGATGTCCCACCAAGCCTGAATCACCCAGGATCACCAAGCTTTGAGAAAAGTGCACGGATAAAGGATAAAAGCCCCAAAATTAGGAGTGTGGAACCTTACAGATCACACAGCTATAACCCAGCTGCCTGAAGTTTGGGGACTCACCTGCACAGAGCAGGAGCCCCAGGAGGGGCAGGCACTGCTCGAACCTCATCCTCATGTTCCTCCTGCTGCTGCTGCTGCTCTCCACCACATCAGACTGCCATGGCCGTGGCAGGAAAGAACACGGTGGCTTTCCTAGAAAGAAGCCCAGGATTGCTTTTCCCAGAATTGTTGCCCACCCGAGCAGGGCTGGGGCACTCACTCGTTCCAGAGCAGCCGGGGCAGAGGCACACACGTGAAATAAGCCCAGGTCAGGAAGTGCGGAGGCTCAAAATGTCTTCATGGGACGTCACCGGCAGCCAGGGGTGGCTGCTCTGCTCTGCACCAGCTCTGCAGGCTCAGGACTGCCCTGGGAGGCGAGGAGAGAGAAACGGGCTGGAATCAGATTGGCCACCAGGCCCTTCCCAACAGCTCCTCAAAGTGAGAGTCTGAGAAGCTCCAAGTGCTGCAAAGGACTTCACGTGGAATCCCAGCGTGGTTTGGTGGGAAGGGACCATAAGGCCCATCCCATGCCACCCCTGCCATGAAGGACACCCTCACTGTCCCACGGTGCTCCCAGCCTTGTCCAGCCTGGCCGTGGGCACTGCCAGGGATCCAGGGGCAGCCACAGCTGTGCCAGGGCCTGCCCACCCTCACAGGAACAATTCCTAATTCTCAATATCCCATCCATCCCTGCCGTGAGGAACACCTTCACTGTCCCAGGGTGCTCCAAACCCCACCCAGCCCGGCCTTGGGCACTGCCAGGGATCCAGGGGTGCTCTGGGCACCCTGTGCCAGGGCCTGCCCACCCTGCCAGGAACAACTCCTAATTCCCAATATCCCATCCTGCCCTGCCCTCTGGCAGTGTGAGCCCATTCCCCCTTGTTCCACCCCAGAGCTGCTGCCAAGAGCCCCTCTCCATCCTCCTGCAGCTCCCTTCAGGCACTGGCAGGCTGGAATGAGGGGAGCAGGAGCTGCCCCCAAAGCTGAGCACCCAGAGTCCTGCACGGGCACAGAGCCGAGGCTGCGGCTCCCTGCCCATCCCCATGGTGGTGTTCACAGGGCTCCCAGGATGAGGGAAGAGACCAGAATGTTGACTCTATACTTTAAAAAGCTTGATTTATTATTTTATTATACATATTAAAACTAAACTAAAAGAATATAAGAAAAGATTTTATTAGAAAACTTGAAAGCAAAAGAGAAAAATAGAATGATTACAAAATCTTGTCTCCAACTAGAGAGACACAGCTAGAGTGTGATTAGCTACTAATTACAAACAACTACATGAAACTAATCAAAGATACACTTGCTGCATTCTACAGCAACAGATGGTTATTGTTTACATTTTGTTCTTGAGGCTTCTCAAGAGAAAAAATCCTAAAGAAAGGATTTTCCATGAAACACGTCTGTAACACATCCCCTGCACTCAGCCCCTGTTCCAGCCGCATTTTTGGGATGTTCTCCCGCTCGGGCGCTGCCGTGGCCGCGGCTGGCCCCGCTAGAGGGGGCTCCTGGCCCGGCTGCCTTAGGATGAAGCGCAGATGCAGAGTACCTGTAAAGGCTCCAAAGGGACAGGGGGGTGCTGCTGTGCCCCATTTCCTTTGTTGCGGTGCTCTCTTTGTCAGGCCTTTCTTTCCCTTATTTATGTTTCCGAGTAGAACATCAGAGAATTCAGGTTACTGGTGAGTGTGCCAGGGACGTGGTCTGCTCTTAAAAGTTGGAGTCCACGTGTTTTGTTAAAAGATAAAGATTAACAAAAGTCTGCAGGCAAAGGGGCTGTTCCCAGCCCTGTGCAGAAACAGGACTAGGAAGTGGCAGCAAATTGGCTGCTAAACATTAAACACACCCCGAACAAAGCCCCGGAGTGATAAATATTCACAGTGGCGAGGAAACAAAAGGAGGCGATGTGCTGGAACTGTAACTGAGTGGGAATCTGGGGACGTGAAGTGATGGAGGGCTAACGCGGGACCGAATCATTCCGGGAAAATGGAGACCCTTGGTGTCCCAAATCACTCCATGAAAATGGAGATCCTTGGTGTCCCAAATCACTCCAGGAAAATGGAGATCCTTGGTGTCCCGGAGGCGTTAGCAGGGGTATGTTAGCACACACGGGATTCCCGGCTCTGTTCTGGGGACAGCCCAGGGAGCTGACGGCCTCAGCGCTGTTTTTCCATCGCCAAATCGCTGAAGTGAACCCTCAAACACCCCGAGGTTGGGGTACCCTCCCTTTGCACCCCTGCAAGGGAAATCGGCCCCAGGCACAAGTGGAAGCGGTGACCTGGGATGACTTGTGGGACGGATGATGAACCAGACACAAACACTGCCGCTCCAGTGATTTATGGCCCTCGAGTGTAAACATTCTCATTTTGCCAACACACAGGCTCTGATTGGTTTCACTCTCACAACAGCCACGTGCCGACTGCGGAATATTTCATGTCCCACGGAATTTCTCACTTATGGCCGGGCTGGGCCCATTTGCCACCTGATTTTTCCCAGAACTTCCCCAGCACCAGGGTTCCAATCCTTGGCTACAACCAAGGAACATTCAAATCCCTTTCGGGTGGGTGTCTGTGTTCGGTGGGACGTTTCCATCCTCTGGGTGAGGGCCCGCAGTGCGGCCACGGATTGTCAGTTTTGGGCTGCTCTTTTTAGGATCGTTTGCAGTTTTTTGTTTTTCCGAACAAATGGCCCTCATTCCTTCGAGCCACCTATGAACACCTCCAGGCAAATCTTCTTTTACCTCCCACAAAAGGGGAGTGGTTTCGGGCGGCGGCTGGGAGGAGGAATGATTGCAACACCAAAGAGCAGGGCAATATGGGAGGGAGAAGAAATTAATCTTACCTTGGGAATCGCTGATTTACGGCAGGAGCCAGCGAGGAGGGGCCGGGCACACCTTGGCAAGGAGCGCGCCGTGACTCGGGCAGGGAGCGCTCACCGTCCCCAGCCACAGGCCGGGCTGGGGGCAAGGAACCTGCCCCGTTGTGCTGGGAACACTTCGAGAAGCTCATCTTTTCCCCCAAGCGGATTTGCCTTTGCAGCCCGGATTTGTGTCCCCGATGCGCGCCTGGCTGCGCGCTGCGCTCGTCCTTGGGGCGCAGCTCCGAGGTAAGGAAGGAAACCTGTCCCGGCCGTGCTGCCCTCGCTCCCCTCTTCCGATCCCTGAAATTACTGAAATTACCCCCAAGGCTGAGGCTTTTCCCCGTCCCTGCTGCCATTCTTCCTGCGCGGGGTTCGCTGGAAGTGGCACGAAGCGGTTGCGTTTCTTCCCCAACAGGTTTGGGCGTATTCGGGAGGAAAGCACCGATCTCCTCCGCTGATTTCCTCCTCACCTCCGCTTTCAAAGTCTTTTTCTCTCCTGCCGGGAATCTGAACTTTACACCCAGCCTTTCTTTCTTTCTTTTTTTTTTTTTTTTTTTTTTGTGCTACCATTGTTCCTAAACAGTCGGGGATTGTCCAGGAGCTCCGGCCTCAGATCCTTTACACAGCAAAGGTTCCAGACTGACACGAAACTCACCTGAATTTTCACTGGTTTATATCAAAACAACTGGATTTTAACAAAACATATCCTCCTTTCCTAAATGCATCAGCACATGGATGTAATCTGGCTTGAAAAAAAGTATTATATTCTTATTTCTCGCTTAGTTCTTTCCAATGAGTTTAAAACGAAAAGATTTGGCACCGAATCCGTGTATGAGCAACGTGATCTCTGCCAATGAGGTTTTTCATGTGGGAATGCTTTCAGTGCTTTGGCATTCAAGTATTTTTCCCTTTGAGATAAGGAATTATTTGGAAGGAAGTATTTAGTCATGAATTACTTCCAAATACATCTTTATTTTGAAGCTATATTTTAAAACCCTAGAAAAGCTTTTTGGTTTTTTGCTTGAATCACACTGGGTTGAGTTATCTTCTTAATGTGACAGGATATTAATATTTTCTATTTCCTTCACTAGCAAACCATTATTTTTTCTTATTTTTCACTCTCCTCCTTTCCTTTCCATGCTCTCCCTCCTGCTGGTTATCCCTCTTCCAGGAGAGCATCGTTCCCTCGATGCTCACTTATTTTTAAAGCAGCGGCCATGGTGGTTGTGGTGATGTTTCTTGGAAAAACAAATCCACGTTTTCCTTGAGGATTTCCTCTCGGCCTGACTGAATTAACCTGCAGCTGCCCAGCTTTATAAAGCCTCTAAAACTGGCTCTGGATATACCTGTAGGATCAGTTCCACTGTGGTGTGCACGAGGCTGAGGAGAAAGTGTAGAAAGTGTAGAAAGGGAGTAGAAAGTGTAGAAAGGGAAGTTCTGGCATGGGAAACAGCAATTATTGGGTGAGTTCAGTCCAGTTTGAATGGGTTTTTCTGAATAAACCGGCAGGATCACCCCCTTTGGAATGCCTGAGCCACTCAGGCCATGCCTTGCCAGCGCAGATAAGGCTCCCGGGGATCCAAAGGCGACAAGAGCAGGGATGAGCTCACTCTGACACTGATTTCCCCCCGTGTTTGCCCTGCAGCGCTGTGGCTGGCGGCAGCAGTGGAAGTTCACACTGCCAAGGAGGTGGTGGCAGTGAACGGCACCAACCAGCGGCTGAAATGCACCTTCTCCAGCAGCAGCCCCGTGAGCCAGCAGCTGTCCGTGAGCTGGAACTTCCAGCCCGAGGACCTGAGCGCCCACGAGCCGGTGAGTGAGACCCCTGTGCTCCCTTCTAGGGGTTCCTCTCACCCCAAAACCCAGAGCTGGGTGAGCAGTGAGACCCCTGTGCTCCCTTCTAGGGGTTCCTCTCACCCCAAAACCCAGAGCTGGGTGAGCAGTGAGACCCCTGTGCTCCATTCCAGGGGTTCCTCTCACCCCAAAACCCAACACTGGGTGAGCAGTAAATGGATACAGACACACCCCAAACCCACAAGTACATCTGAGCTTTCGTCACTTGCAGTGATTAATCTGAGTCCTGTTTATAGTCCTTGCCTAAAAAACACTCTCATGTTTAGTTTTGGGTGGTCAGGTTAAAATATTTGTGGCTTTACAAAGCTGGACCTGCTCAGCCACAGTTGAGCCCTGTTTTTGGTGACATCCTGCAGCTGGTGAGACTTCAGGAATCTCCCAGGTCCCTTCCAGCCCAGGCCATTGGGTGTTCCTGTGACTTTTGCAGGTATTTTACCATCTGTGACTTTTGCAGGTATTTTACTACCTGAAGGAGCCCTACCAGCCCCCCTCGGGAAGGTTTAAGGACCGAGTCACCTGGGATGGGAACATTGAGCGCCACGACGTCTCCATCATGGTCTGGAACCTGAAGCCCAGTGACAACGGGACCTTCACCTGCCAGGTGACAAACTGGCCAGACGTCTATGGCACCATCGGGGAGGTGCGGCTCCGGGTTGTGCAGAAAGGTGAGAGGCCAAAAACCCCCCAGAGTCCTGTGGGTTTTAGCAGAGTGACCTTCTGGGAAAACCGTGGGAGAAAAGGGGTTGTAAGTTGTGAAAAATGCGTACTTTATGATTGGCTTGTCACAAATATTAAAATGAATATTATATGTGTTGTGTTAGAAAGTGACGCTGTGTTAATTTTCTTAAGTAGTGTGTTAAATATAGTTTTAGGTTACAATGTTAGGTTATAAGTTAATGTTATAAGGTTATTAGGTATTATTAGGTTATAAGTTTTAGGTTGTATATCGTTTTAGGTTATAATGTTAGGTTATAAGTTAATGTTATAAGGTTATTAGGTATTATTAGGTTATAAGTTTTAGGTTATATATAGTTTCAGGTTATAATGTTACAATAGAAATGATGCTGTGTAAGACTTTTTGAAAGGGAGAAATGAGGTACTCACACTGAGACAGCAGCCACAGGACACCTCAGTCTTTCAGAGAAAGAGAATTTATTGCTCCCTTATAGAAGAAATGAACTTCTTCCTGCCTTGCTCAGCCCTAAAGATGCTGTCAGGATTCAGAGGAAGAAGCTGACACTAGCCAGACAGAATCCTGTGTTTGAATGGAATTTATGCAGCATGGATGAGCTGCATGAATATGCAACAGGCTGTTGCTTTTAAGGGTTAATCCTCTGTTAATGTGGGTCCTTTTTCTGGCTTATTTTGCCCAGAAAGAGGGACCCAGACTGTCCATAACCCTTTGTTTTTATTGTCTCATATTGTCCTAATCCTAATGGTCCAAAATATTATTACTCTAATTGTATTACTATTTTCATAACCATTTTATTACTATTAAACTTTTAACATTTTAAAAACAAGTGATTTTCACAAGCAGAAAGCATGAGGGGAGAAGAGGAGCCTGAGGAAAGGTTTCATTCACACACAGAGCATCCCAGCCTCGCTCCCCCTGTGCGTCCCTCTGTTTCATTCCCTTGTCTCTCCCCACGCAGTGAGCTTCTCAGAAATCCATTTCCTGGCCGTGGCCATCGGCTCTGCCTCTGGGCTGATGATCATCGTGGTGACAGCCGTGATCATCTGCCGGCAGCACCGCAGGAAGGCGCGAGACAGGAGGGCGGAGGCGGCAGAGGCGGCGGACAGCGAGCGGTGAGGGAGGGCAGGGGGGCTCCTGGGACAGCCTGGGCAGTTCATGTCCATGGCCCTCCTGATTCCTTGGCCAGTTCATCTCCATGGCCCTCCTGAATTCCTTGGCCAGTTCATCTCCATGGCCTTCCTGAATTCATGGCCAGTTTATCCCCATGGCCCTCCTGAATTCTTGGCCAGTTTATCCCCCATGGCCCTCCTGACTTCTTGGCCAATTCATCTCCATGGCCTTCCTGAATCCTTGGCCAGTTTATCCCCATGGCCCTCCTGAATCCTTGGCCTTTACATCCATGGCCTTCCTGAATTCTTAGCTTGGACCCTGCATGGAGCATCCACAATGCAAAACTGCCAGCCCAATTAGGGATAATTGGCTGTCTGCAAGCAGAACAGAGTCCCAGGATGGGCCAGCTCTGGAGCCCTCATCTGGCTCTTGCCCTTCTCAGTGGCTCCTCACTCAGAGGGACACAGCTGCTGTGATGGTGGAGGGGAGATGACCACACTGTCCCCTGAGCTGTGGTCACCACTGGTGTGGCACACTCACCATGTCGCCTTGGGTGTGCTGTGTGTGACTCAGGACATCCTGCTGCTCTGCCTGACACTCATTTGGGCTTCTTTTCTCTTTTGTTTCCTCCCATTTTTATAACAGTAAAGAAAAGGAGAGCCTGAAGATGGGGGAAAAGAAGGAATCCATTCCTTTGGAAGATTAAAGGTCTTTGCTGGTGTGCACAATGCAGGTATCCATCCAAACCTTCTCTAATTAATGTCTCAGTGCTCCTGTGGACTCTCCAAGACATTCCCTCGGGTACTTCCCTGCTGTTCACAGTCAGAACTGAGGCCACAGTCACACTTTGCTGTTGAGGATCCTTCAGGGACAGCTGAACAATCTCTGAACAATCACAGCCTCTTAATGTACAAGAGATTCCTCCACCCTGGTGCTGAGGAGCCTTTGTAGGAAAGCCATTGTTGCTGCTTTCCATGGCATTCCTGCTTTGCAGATGAAGAGGAATGAATTACTCCCCTTTTGTCAGTTTGAAATCTGCTTTTTGATTACTTTAGCCTTTATTGTTTTAAAATTGCATCAGGAAGTCTGGCACTGTCTCCACATTCATTGTCTTTGCTTAAACGTGTCAGCACAAATTTTACCCACAGGTTCTGAGGTCAGCAGTTGCCTCTATTATTTTGCCTTTTGACAATGACCCTGAGTAATGGATGTTTGCTTTTCTTACCATCTTTCTTCTCAGGTGCTTCCAAAGCAGCTGGTGAAAGCTTGTAATTTGGGGTGTTAGAACAAAGCTGGATTACAGACGCCCCACGCTGCCCGTGTGGGGCTCTGCTCAACCTGAAAGTTTTGCATGGAAAGAGGGTGACTTTACATGAGCTGTGAGTTCCCTTCAGTGAGGCACAGCAGGAGGATCCTGCCCCATGAACAAAGAACTTCTCCTTCATCTTCTCACCTGTGGAATGGGAGCTTCTCTGGAAGTACCAAGATTGACTGGACAGGGGCTGGGAGGTGTTTGAGCAGATGCACTCCTGCACCTTGGAAACCACAACGTGCCTTTGGTTTAAACCTGCCCTGGTTTCATCCCCTGAGACTCTCCCTGGCACCCTGAGAAGGAAGACTGAGCAGTGAGGTCTCAGCTGGTACAACAAGCGTCCTTGGAATCCTTTTTCTACGTTAGATGGACAGAGTTGGAGCTGGGCAAGGTGTGCTGGTTGTTACCAGGGATGACATTCACCAGCCAGGGCGCTTTGCACATCCTTCTCTGGCAGCTTTGGGAGAATCTGGGGACTGAGGAGAGTTTTCTGCCTGGCTTCAGCAGCTCCCCTCTGTTCCCATTCCCACTATCCCAGTGCTCCCCCTATTCCTGTTCCCATTCCCACTATCCCAGTGCTCCCCCCTGCTCCCCAAAACTGGAACCCACGTGGTTCTAAGGGTGTCTGAGCAGCCCCAAAGGGATCCTGTTACAGTATTTACCCAGCCCCAAATCACAGCATTGGCCTCTTTGTTTGTAGAGTGTCTTTATAGCTTTATAAGCTGTGAAGTGCCAGCGTTCCCTGCCTCTTCCCTGGCGGTTTCCATTTGCACTCACCTGTGTTGTAAATAAAGGCACCTTGCTGAGAGCTGGGCTGGTGTGGAGTGGGCTGTGACCTGGGGAGCCCTGACACCTCAGATGAGCACATTTGCACTGTTTGTCCCCAAAATCGGATTTGTTACTCAGTGTGCAACAAACCAATAATGAAATACTTCAGGGAGAATGAAATACCTTCAGAAGAGCCCAAGCCTGGGTGGGTGCTTGGTGGTGTCCCACAAATCCAGCACATCCACTGGACTTTTACTAGCATTATTTATGCACAGAATTCAGAATTAGTAACTCTCCAAGTCCAGCCCCTCTCTTACAATGGGTTATTAATTCCCATACAAGTTATGTCACCCCAGCCAACTCCTACCCCTGCTCAGGGGCAGGCTCTTCACCTGGCCGGGCTCTTTTTGACCTGTAGGTGTGATTTTTGGTATTATAACCAAGATAGTTCAGCTCCAGGATATACAATCCTCGGGTGTTTAGCCCAGTTAGCAATGCACACACAGACACACGTCCGCATATTGATTTATTACATCCCTAAAACTTGTCAGTTCCAGGGTGTCCTTGGCTGAGGGATGCAGCTGCTCTGTTGCCCTGATTAGGTCTCTCGTTTTTGGTGATTGTGCTGGAAAATCTACAAAGATCTCACAGCAAGGAACATCCTGACTTAATAATGTAATCCTGACACATTCCTCATTGTGTGGCACCCAAAAAACCAAAGCTCAGTGAGCGGGCTGGCGGTGACAATGACAGGAGCCACCTGGGGATTTGGGGACAAACACCGTGGCTGTGCCAGACCTTTCCCAGCAGGGCCAGCCAGGTGTGCCCAGGTGTTCCCACCCAGGTGTGCCCAGGTGCTCTCAGGTGTACCCCAGTATTTTCAGGTGTGCCCAGGTGTTCCCTCCAGGTGTGCCCAGGTATTCCCAGCCAGGTGTTCCACCCAGGTGTACCCAGGTGTGCTATGGCATTCCCAGGTGTTCCCAGGTGTTCCACCCAGGTGTACCCAGGTGTGCTATGGCATTCCCAGGTGTTCCCAGGTGTTCCCAGGTGTCCCACACAGGTGTACCCAGAGCTACCCAGGCGCCGCGGCCATTTCGGGGCTGCCCCGCCCTCACCTGCGCCAGGTGAGCGCCATGTTCCGGGGCTGAGCCCGGCCGGGATGCGGCGCCCAGGGGCGGCGGGGCCCGGCGGTCGCCTCCTCCTCCTCCTCCTCCCGCGGGGGGCTCTGCTGCTGCTCGGTACCGGGGGGCTCCGGGCTGGGACGGGATTGGCGGTGCCCGGGGCGTTCCGCGATGGAACCGGGCCGGGAGCGCTCGGGATGCGGCTCCGGGGGCAGGGGAGGCTCGGGCAGGGCGGTCCCAGTAACTCTGGAGGAGCGGAGAAACTCGGGAAGAGCCGTCCCGGGGCGGTGGAAGGGTCGGGCAGGCTGGTCCCGGTACTCTGGGGGAGCAGAGAAACTCGGGAAGAGCAGTCCCGGGGCAGGGGAGGCTCGGGCAGGCTGGTCCCGGTACTCTGCAGGAGCCGGGAAGCTCGGGAAGAGCCGTCCCGGGGCGGTGGAAGGGTCGGGAAGGGCGGTCCCGGTGCTCTGGAGAAGTTGGGAATCTCGGGAAGAGCCGTCCCGGGGCAAGGGAGGCTCGGGAACGGCCGGGGTTGAACGGGGCAGAGGTGACTGCGCACCCTGGGAACGAGAACTGAAAGGACTTGGAGCTGTGGGGAGACTTTTGACCCGGTGCATGTGAAATCCAGGCGCTGTGGCCAGAACCGCAGGGCAGAACTGCTCCAAGTCCCTAAAGATGGTGCTTGCTAACTCGTCTGAGACCCCGCTGATTCCATTTCTCACCCCCTTGTCTCCAAATCCGAACATTCCTGGTGCTGCTGCCCCGGTGCCTCATTTGGGGCCAGTTCCAGTCCCACGGAGAACAGGGCAGGGGAGATTTCTGCTTTCCTGCAAATTTCAGTGCTGTGGAGGGAGGGGAGGGAGTCACTGCTGTGCTTTAGTCCTGCACACGTGTCGGTATTTTTGGGACAATTTAGCTCCTCACATGTAGCACAAAATGAATCCCTGCCTTTTGTGCCCGTTCCATCAGGTGTCTGCAATGCCCTTTCCCTGGAAATTAAAGTCAATCCTAAAGTCCGAGCTTTTGTGGGTGAGCAGGCGCTGCTGAAATGCTCCTTCAGATCCAGCTCCCCCATCACCGAGAGCCTGCTGGTGGACTGGACCTACCGGCCCCTCGCTGGGGGCCAGATGGAGACAGTAGGTGGAACAGGGCCAAAATCAGAATTTTCTGTTTGCTTTGCTGGGCTGCTGCCTCACTTTGCGGTTTGGGACTCTCGTTGTTGCCTTGTTCCCCCTGTAAAATTCCTTTGGTGTTCTCTGGGGGGAGAAAAATACTCCAGGTAAATACAAAACGGCATAATAATGGTAAAATAGATAAATTTAGGGGGTTGTCACAAGTGCTGCACTGTGTACTGCGCAGGATGGCTGTAAAGATTCGGTTGGTGGCTTTATTTCTCTTATATAGGAAATGCTCTTCCTGACTTCTTAGTGTGACATTATTCCTCCATTTTTCCAATGCAAAATCCCTTTGTTTTTGCAACGCAGAAGCAGTTCACTCTGCTTTCTTGCACGAGTGTTCTGTTGCCACAATCCCTGCCTTTCCCTCCTCGCAGATTTTTCACTATCGCTCCGTCCCACACCCCACAACAGCGGGGAGGTTCAAGGACAGGATAATCTGGGTTGGGAACGTTGCTAGCGGCGACGCCTCCATCGCCATCCAAAGCCCGGAGCTCAGTGACAACGGGACATTCATCTGCAGCGTGAAGAACCCTCCAGATGTTTATCACAACATCCCCCAGACCGTGCTGCTGGTGACAGAGCGGGGTAAGGCTCCCTGCCCTGGCTTTGGCCTCACCCCATGACAAAAGTGGCTTTGTGGGATCCTGGAATCCCGAGCATCACGTGGGAAATGCTCCCTGGACCTCCACGCTGGAGTTTCAGCAGGGGCTGCCCCAGCCCCACTCTTTGAGCTCAGTGCTTTGAGAATTGATTGCTTTGCTGAATTGATTTGGGGCAGGAAGGGACGGGGGGAGCAGTGGTGACAGCAGAAATCAAAAGTGTCCCTTTGTTCAGGAATCTCAGCCTCCGCAAATTGCGGCAGAACAAGTTAAACATTGAAGAAACGCTGGCCTAAAAATAATCCCCACATCACAAGCGCTGATTGTCAGCACCAATTTCCTCATCTGCCCTGCGTGCCAGCCCTGCCCCAAATTCCCAGCTCAGCGCGCTGATAGAACTGTGCCGTGCCTTCCTCTGCAGCTCCTGAGCCCTGAGCCTGGGCTGGGCTTGGGGTCAGGAGCCCCAGGGTTTGGGGATCTCAGGTTTGGGGTCAGGAGCCCCAGGGTTTAGGGACAGGAACCTCACAGGTGTGGGATCAGGAGCCCCAGGGTTTGGGGTCAGGAACCTCACAGGTGTGGGGACAGGAGCCCCATGGATTTGGGGTCAGGAGCCCCAGGGTTTGGGGACCTCAGGTTTGGGGACAGGAACCTCACAGGTGTGGGGACAGGAACCCCACAGTTTTGGAGATAGGAGCCCTACAGATTCAGGGACCTCAGGTTTGGGGACAAGAGCCCCACAGGTTTGGTGGCAGGAGCCCCACAGGTTTGGGGACCACAGGTTTGGGGATAGGAACCACAGGAGCCCCACAGGTGTGGGATCAGGAGCCCCACAGATTTGAGGACAAGAGCCCCACGGGTTTGGGGACAGGACTCCCATAAGTTTGGGTACCTCAGATTTGGGGACAGGAGCCCCACAGGTTTGGGGACTGCAGGTGTGGGGACAGGAGCCCTGCAGACGTGGGGACAGGCTGTTCCCAGCCTGCCAGCCCCGTGTCCCACGTGGAAGGGCCACCAGGCTGTGCCCTGGCTGGGGTTTGTCCCAGGGCCCAGCCACGCCGTGCCTCGCTGTGTTCCAGGCCTGGCCTTCCAGCTGAGCTCAGCAGCTCTGCTCTCCATCCTGGTGTTCCTCCCTTCTGCCCTCGTGGCCGTCCTGCTGCTGGTGAGGATGGGGAGGAAATTCCGGCTGCTGAAGGAGAAAGGAAAATATGGCTACAAGAAATCCTCCATTGAAGTGTCTGATGAGTAAGTCCTGGCTGCAGGTTGGAGCCTGTATTTCCACTTTGGGGTGTTGGCTCAGGCACGGGGGATGATTTCCCCACTGGCCTTCAGCGCAGCTCAGTCACTGGGATGTGCTGCTCACCCAGCAGGCAGAAAGCTGTGGAAAATCCCTGAGTGGAGCACAGACCAGTGCTGCACATCCCCTTGTGCTGCACATCCCCTTGTGCTGCACATCCCCTGTGTGCTGCCATTCGTGTGAGCAGAGCCGTGGAGCTGAGGCACGTTGGGCTCAGACATATTTCACTTCTGTAATGAGGTTTATCTGAGCCTGAGTCAGCAGGATGTTTTGCATGAGAGATTTGTGTGCTGCATTTTGGGGTGAAATCACCATAACAGCAAAACAAACCCAATAATGCCAGCTGTGGTGGGCTGAGCAGGGCTGCCAGGTGCTGAAAGAGCCTTGGAGACTGAACTCCCTTCTGCTCAACTCCTTGCAAAATGATTTTGTTTTACTGCAGTCTTTTAATGATTTGATTGGTGGTGTAAGATTTGCCAGTCAAAAAGCAACCTTTGTTTTCATTTTTTGTTTTCATTTCACCTTCAAAATGAGGCATCTGGCAGCTTTCGGTCCTTTTGGCTTTGCTGAGCTGACTTAAAGGCTTTTCCTCACCATGAAAACCCTTCAGTTCCGTGTGGTACCACCAGAATTCACAGTCCACTGGGGTGGCACTGGGGTGTCTGGGGGGAAGTCCAGCCTGATGCTGTGCTTTTCTGCAGGCCTGAGCACCCAGACAGGGCTGGCTGCGGGGGGAAGCTCAAGGAGTGGTGCCTGAACTGCGTGGTAAGTGAAAATTGCTGTTTTCACTGCGGTTTTGCCAATCTGGGTGCTCCAATGAGGTGCTGAGAGCAGCAGGCAGAGTGTCCCAACACCTCTGGGTGTCCAAGCTGTCCCAAAGGCTCCTTGCAGTGAGAGCTGCTGGTTGTGCTGCTGGGGGAGCTGTCCTGACATCCATCAAACTGATTTTTCTGGATTTGATGGAATCAAAGCTGTCAGTTGGAGATGGCAAATCAGGGGTGCAGTGGCAGCTGCCGTGGGGGCTCTTTGGGGGCTCTGCAGGAGCAGTTTGGGGCTGGCAGTGCTGTGCTGGGGAAGTGTGACCGTGCTCACAGGGCTCTCAGGTTGAGGGTAGAGATGAGAATTTGACTCCATATTTCAGAAGGCTTGATTTATTATTTTATTATATATATATTATATAAAAACTATACTAAAGAATAGAAGAAAAAAGTTTCATCTCAGAAGGCTAGCTAAGCTAAGAATAGAAAAACAAAGAACGATAACAAAGGTTTGTGTCTCGGACAGAGAGTCCGAGCCAGCTGGGCTGTGATTGGCCATTAATTAGAAATAACCACATGAGCCCAATCCCAGATGCACCTGCTGCATTCCACAGCAGCAGATAATCAATGTTTACATTTTGTCCCTGAGGCCTCTCAGCTTCTCAGGAGGAAAAAATCCTAAGGCAAGATTTTTAATGAGAAGATGCCTGTGACAAGGAAGGCAGGCTGCGACCCCTCAGCCCTCTGTGTTTTCTTCCTCCTTTCACCTCCTTTTCGCCGCAGCAGAGCATTGCTAAACCCTGGCGGTTGGTTTGTTTGTTTCTGCTTTTTGTTTGCCGTGCTCTCTGAAGCGCTGGCTGCCTTCTAATCCTGCTGCTCCCCTGGCCAGCCCGGCAGCAGCTCCTGTGATTGAGGTGCCTGTGCTCCAGCCCCGGAGTGGCTTTGCCACCTGCTGCCCTCGTTGTGTGTGAGTCCTGCTCTCTGGAATGGGAGCCGCATTCCAGGGTAATTAATGCCCGATTGGAGAGGGCTTTCATTGTCTGCGTGTCCTGCAGAGCTCATTTCGCTCTGGGGCACCTCTGCCTCTCCTGCACACGCTCAGGACGTGAGTTAAGGAGGGTTTAAATATGTGTTGTTTGAGCCACTCTCCTAATGCCAGTGATTTCAAACTGCCCTAAATGCCCAAGCCTTCAGACAGGCGTGTGCTGATGGTTTCTATGAGATACAGGATGAAAAACAGGCAATTATGTAAGTTGGACATAAAATATTTACAGTTCTGCATTAGACACGGCAGGCACTGAGCTGCAGTGTTGGGAATGAAGGTTTGGAGAGGAGGGGGAAGCAGGAAACGCCTCGGGCCAGAGGTGGGAGGGCTGTTCAGGTGATGTTCTGCAATCAGGGAGGTGCCAGGAGGAGAGATGGGGAAGGATGGAGCCCCAGCTTGGTGAGGAAATGCTGTCAGGACATGGGAGATGTCAAAAGTTGGAAACTGTCCTCTCATCCCTTGGGAGGAGTGGAATTGGAATGATAAAATCCTGCTGCTTTCATGGCAGTGCTCTGCCAGGTTTGATCCTTTGCTGTCTGATACTGAAATATTTATCTCCGAAATATTTATCTGATCAGGTCTCTGAGAAAGCTGCCCTCTCACTTGAACAATTCTGCGTGTTTGGGGTTCCTCCAGTGTGCTTTTTCATGTTCCATATGTGACCAGACAAAATTGCAAAGCCAATGGAAAATCCCTTTAGATTGCAATGGGTGTCAGTGAGACTGGCCTTGCAGAGCTGAGCTGTTGGGTGAGCTCAGAGCTGCAGAGCTGCGTGTGAGACACCATCGAACCCGCTGTGGTTACAGCAACCAGGGGCTTCTAAAAGTGGCTGAAAAACAATAATTTGTGCTGCTCAGGGCTGTCTCTGCAGGGCTCTGCTGCACTTTCTGGTTCATCTTTAGCTGCTGCTTCTCCTAAAATACATTTCATGTGGGTTATAGCATGGTGGTTGTGTCTGGGAGAAGTCAAACAGATTTTATATTTATATTTATATTTATATTTATATTTATATTTATAGCAGTGGTTTTCCAGGTCCTCTGGCCTGCCCAAGCACAGCAAGATTTTTGGGAAGCATTTCAGAAGCCCAGCCAGGCTCAGTCTTTGGCTGAAATCATGGCTTGATTCATTTCTTTACACATAATCTCAGTTTCTCTCCTTGTTCCCCGTTTAGGACACGGATGAGGAAGATCCCTACTGACCAAAGCTGTGCAAAAAGACCAAAATCACAGCACTGAAAATCCTGGTTAGACCCTTCCAGAGGCTGCTGGGTGACCAGTGCAGACTGAAGGATATGCTCTGCTCTCAGTGGATTGGAGGAATAATGCTGATGGGATAATTCACTTCCATTTAAACACAAAATAATGATGTTCTAAAAATCTTTCTAATTTATTGGGGAAAAGAAAATCTCTCGCCCTCGGATCTGCGGGGCCCAGAGAAGCCTCAGTGCCCACAGTGCCAATGTGCCTTGGTTTTCCTGCAAGCTGCTTTGGTTCACTGGTTTGGTTTTTTGGCGACATCCCTCTTTTCCTGAGCCCTGGAAATCCAACTTTTTGAAGAAAAAGCTGCTCCAGCTCTCTGGGCACTGCCAAGGTTTGTTCTCAGGTTTTTTGGAACATACTGACTCACAGCAGTTTGATGAAGTGATACCTGGCATCCTCTGTGCTGGAGTGAAGAGAACCTACTGCTTTTGAAGTATTTTTTATTATTCAGCTGCACCACTGGGTACTGCTCCTTCTACCTGTAGAAGCGAAGCACAATTCATAGAAAACAATTTTATTTTCTTCTTTTTTGAAATCAGAAATGCAAATGGGGACTCTGTTTCTGGGGACACACAACCCCATCTACCTCAGCCATGGACTCAAGCACTGCTCAAAGGAATGTTCTGGTTGCAGTAGTTGTTTTCTTCCTCCCTTCTTCTGGGACCTGCTTTAGGGAAATGGTTAATTGTGAAGCAATTACTTCCCCTTGGTGGTGAAGGGCATTTCCTCTTTCACCAGCCTTGTCCACAATGAATGGCGGACAGCAGTGGGATTCATTCACTCTATCCCTAAAAAGCTGCTTTCTTTCTGTATCACTCAAATATTCTCCTTTTACAGACGTGCTCCAGGTTTACTGCTGATTTTGCTGTGCAATTACCAATAAATTCATTATTCCATTTTGGGCTGTGGATCTCTTTATTTGGCTAAATACAGCTGAACCTATAAAACTGCCATCCTGAGGTGTAAAAATTGTCACTTGGTGATGGGTGAAGGTTTATAGGGAGCAGATTTAACCCTAAAGAGGACAAGTCCCCCCCTTGAGCATCTGTGCTGGCTGCAGCTTTCAGGTGTGGTGAGGCTGTCCCTGACAAGTAGGTCAGCTGCAGATCTGTGCTCCAGATAAAAACATATCCCCCCTCTCTCCTGTACAGCAATATTTCAAGTGTTTGTGCTCCCTGGCGACACAACATCTCTGTCAGCCAAACCTTCCCTGGGAAAGGCTGCTGGGATCACAGAGCCTGGGGAAGTGGCTTTGCCGTTCCCCTCTCAGCACTCACGACTTCCCCTGGGGAACCAGAGGCTCCTTTTTGCTGCAAAATGCTGCATTTCAGCTTGGCCAGGCATCTGCTGCATCCTGGGCAAGTGTTGCTGCTGCAAAGCTGAGCTGCCACCCTGGAGCTGTGCGTGCTGCTGAGCTTTCTCCTCCTCTGCCACCCATACGGGAATGTCTTGGCGTGCTGATGCAGACAAGGAGAGATAAAATAAATGTCTTAGAAAATCAGGCCTAAATTACCAGATAAATTACCTAAAATCAGGCATAAATTTCCAGATAAATTACCTAAAATCTGGCTAAATTAGCAGATAAATTGTCTAAAATCAGGCTAATCAGCTGGCCTGATACTCCTCAGCGCAGCTAGCTTGTAAGTTCTCATAAGTTACCCAAACAATCTAGTAAGGAAAACAGGCTGCACTTGTAATAACAAGAAATCTGCCGTGTGAGAATCAGTGAACAAAATATGTAAACAACCCAAGAATAGAGAGATTTGATGGAAAGGTAAAATGCCATTTTCTAACCAATGAGTGCAGCAAGGAAACAGCTGCCAATTGGAACTGAACACAAAGTCTGTGAAAAATGAGTTTTGTGAGTAAAGAAGGGGCTTTTCTGCAGTAAAAACTGAGTTTTGACTGCTTTATTGCAACAGTGTGCCATGGACGGCACTGATACTGGGATGGGGAGAGGGGACACTGGGATGGGGAATGGAGATACTGGAACGGGGAGAGGAGATACTGGAATGGGGAATGGGGATACTGGAATGGGGAGAGGGGATGCTGGAATTGGGAGCAGTGGGATGCTGGAATTGAGAACAATGGGATGCTGGAATGGGGAGCAGGAGCTGCTCTGGTGTTTCACAGAAAGAGGAAGGATGAAAAGGGTTTTTCAAAGTGCCCAGGGGGGTTGCAGCAGAGGCCAATCAGTGCCTGGTGTGTGCCTCAGGAGGAGGCAGCTGCCCACGCTGTGCCAGGCAGGTTCAGAGCCCTGGCAGCCCCAGGAGGAGGGCACACCCCTGTCACCAGTGCTGCTGCTGCCTCACTGGGACAGCATCCAGCAGGGACAGCTCTCTGAGCAGCTCTGGGCCCCAAACAACACAGGAGGGAGCGCAGGGGGTGTGCCAGGAACCTCTGTGTCCTGGACTGGTCATTGGGACTGGTCAGGCCGGTCCCTCGCCTTGGCCTGAGCCCCAGCTCTCCTGTCAGGTGCCTCCCGGAGCTGCCCCATCACCCCTCTGGGACAGACGCATCTGCACTTGGTTTCCCCTCTCTGTTGCACATCCTGATTTCTTGTTCTGCTTTCTGTTGTGTAAAAGTGACCATCAGACCCAACCTGCCAAGAAACATCCTGCATATATGCAGCATATGCAACCTCGAGATGATTTAGCAACTGATTCAGATACTCCGGGTTCAGACACTGAATCAGCTGCTGCAGAACGTGCAAGACGAGCTGACCTTTCCAGGCCACTCTAGGTGAGTAATTTTTGCTGTGGTATTTATTTCTGGATGGTTTTTTTTTTTCATTTGTTTTTCGTGAGAAGAGAACCAGGGGAGCAGAAGTGCCATGTGCCAAGGCAGGGGATGTGATGCCATGTGCTGGCTGTGCCCCTTTTCCCCCAGTCTGATTTGGATGTGTCAGCACTGGCACACTCAGAGCAGCCTGGTGAGTGGGTGCTGGCTCCAGCTGGTGCCTCCCAGCACCCTCTCACTGCTGTGTGTCACAGGGGACACCCTGCAGAAATGTGTTAAATGTGTTCCCAGCCAGGAGCAGAAATCCTGCTCTAAACCAGGGCAATACACCCAGCAAAGGACCAGAAACCAGGGCAATAAACCCAGCAAAGGACCAGAAACCAGGGCAATAAACCCAGCAAAGGACCAGAAACCAGGGCAATGAATCCTCCTCAAAACCAGGGCAATAAACCCAGCAAGGACCTGGTGGCAAACACAGCCCAGAGCCCCAGAGCTTTGGGAGGTGCTGGGCACAGAAATCTCAGTTTTCTGCAGTCAGACAGGACTGGGGTTGAGCTGGCTGCTGCATGGGGTGGTCCTGAGAGTGCAGCTCTGCAGGTTTGGCCCTGTCCTGGCTGTGCTGAGGGCTTGGGGCTGAGCAGGAGCTGTGTTTGCGGGTCGGCTGTGCAGCCAAGTGTGTCACCATGGCAGAGCTGCACAGAGCACAGCAAACCACGCAAAAAGCCAGCCCCAGAGGGGTCCTGTGTTAGGAGAGGCAGATGGCACAGGATTCCAGAAGGCTTGCTGCCACTTCTCAGGATTTTTTGTTTGTGGAAAGGGGGGGGGGGGGGGGGTGATGAAGGTACAAAGCTGGAGTGATTTTCTCAGCCTAGAACTGATCCAAGGGTCTGGAATCCCTGGCTGAGGCTGGTCTGGAGAGCCTCAGCCTTGCACAGTGGAGCAAAAAGAGAGAAGCCACCGAAATGCCAGAGATGATTCAGCTCTTGTCTTTCTATTTCATTTTTGCTGCAGTATTGGGAAATACCTGCTGGTAATGGCAGCCCCAAAGTGCTGCAGCTTCACGTGAGGGCTCTCGGGGCAGGGGAGCTGCTCTCAGGAACCACTCAGCCTCAAATGAAGGGCCAGAGCTGGGAGTCATGGAGCAGGGACAGGGAGCAGGGTGCTGACCCTGCCTCCCTTGGGACACTGCCTGGCACCTCCTGGGGAGGCAGCCAGTCCTTCCCTGGGCTGCAGGACAGACCTGCAGAAAGGAGAAATCAGCTTTGTTCTGAGATGTGGAGCAGGTGCAGCTGGAGCAGGGACAGCACCCAGGGGCAGGGTTAGATCTGGAGCAGGAGCTCTTGGTTTAGGAGCCAGCTCCTGTGATGAGCACAGTAAAGGGCTGTGAACATCTCAGCTCAGATGTCAGAGCTCGACCCCCAAACCACCGGAAAGATTCGTGACTTGCTTAGGTGAAAATATGAAGGGGCTGAGCCCTCTCCCCACGCTCGCTCCTCCTTTCCAGGCTCAGTGTGGTCCCACAAACCAGAGCCCTGTCTCTGCCTCTGTGCTGTGCTCATTTCCAGCCTCCCAGAGTCTTCCTCTGACCCTGAGCTGGCTGCCAGCCCTTGGTGTCCTGGCCCAGGTGTCACCTGTGCTGTTCTTTGCAGAGGGAGATGAAGGTGGTGCTGAGCCTGGCCCTGCTGCTGACATGGCTGGGTAAGCTCCAAGTTTTATTCCCCTCTGCTTTCCCCTCTCCCTTTGCTCTCAGAGCCGTCAGTGTCTCTCCTCCTGTGGGGCTGCTCCTCTCCTGGGTGCCTCTCTGGCCCTGTGTGTGCTGATCTCCCCTGTAAACACCTGCAAACTGCGCTGCCATCCCTGGATCTGCCCTGCACTGAGCCTCCAAGGCTTTGAAAGAAGCAGAACTGCTTCTTCACCAGCTCTAAATACAGGGAGAGGTTCCCAAGGTAATGATTTTGGCTCTGCTCGAGGCAGGCAGCTCCCTCGGTCCTCTCCGCTGGCAAATATTTGTCATTTTCAGCTCATCAGCTGGTCAAGACCGACAGAACTCGTTTGGGGAGCTGCAGCACTTTGCATTCATTATTTACAGGGTTTCAGACAAACGCTTGGTGCTCGGCCAGGGCCCAGCCCTCGGTGCTTGTGGACAGGCTGGGCGCAGAGGACGAGCCTACCTGTCTGAGCAGCTCCCCGGGCTGAATCA